ATTCACCAGCACACTTGGAAAACAAATCACCTTTGTGTAGCTCCTTTCTAGTCTTAGACGACTCAAAGCTTCATCTGTCTGACAGCTCCACCTGCGGCCACCAGGTACACAGAGAGTAAGGACAGCTTTGAACCGGAAACCGTCCTGCTGTGAGGCAACGATGCTGACCTCTGCACCGCTGTGCTGCTGCAGATGTACAGGGCGGACACAAATCAAACAGAATGTCAGAACGCTTTAGCTGCTTTTCACTTAACTAAAAGAAAACAATAAAATCTAACAGTAAAATCTATATTTTTACCAAATTTGCTCGACAGAAGCTGTTAATCTTTTACTGCTGCTGGCAAATTCATCTAAGTTTGCAGAAATTTATTTATTTTTTTACTGTAGCTCTATTACTGAGAATACAGGATTATTCTACACTCTTTTGGTCCTTTTTGTGCTTTACAACCAACCTGTAACTTTGCCATTTATTTCAGTCTCACAGAAGTTTCATGCTATTTGAAGCCCGGGCAGTTCTGACAGAGTATCTGCTCAGCACCAAACACTAGTTAAAATGCCAGATGTGTTCCTCAGGAGGTCATGACGGGCAAAACAGAGCTAAAAAAGAAGAAATTGCTTGAAAATGCATTAATGTAGCAATGTGCCCACGCTGTGAAGAAGCTGTACAGTGGTTAAACACAGGCCTCATTCTAATAACCCTTTAGTGTGCTAATCTACTTTATTCTACAGCACAACACATGGATTTGAAAGATTAAAAACACAAAATCCTGACCTCCTGTTGTTTGTTGCAACATGTGTCCTTTTCCAATGACACACAGGAAGTGGGATGCGGTAGGTTGTGCGCTGCAGTCTCCTGCCGTCAAAGAGGAGGCATTTACCCTAACCTGCGCAGCATCCTCTTTCCCCTCTGTGACACACGTCAAACCAAATGTATTCATAAAACCCTTGAAAAAAAATGTCGATGTCATCGTAAAGATAAAAGACGAATATGGGATGAAAAAGAAGAAACTGCACAGTATTTCGTTGCGCCTCTTCTGCTGTGTGTTTCTGGATGGATTGGTTTTGAAGGTGTGTGAGTGAGAAGGGCAGATGGCGTAGCTCTAGGAATCATCTCCCTACATTAGGGTGCACAGCAGGTGGTGGACCCACGTGCATGAGTCTCCCAGTTCACAAGGACATTTCTCCAGACTTTGCCTTCGGCCTCTGTCACAAACACTCATGTCTGCTTCGCTCTGTGTGTGGGTCTCTCTGTGTGTGTATGTATCAGTCGAGCAGGAGGAAGTAGGCAGCGCAGGGAGTTTAAAGAATTGGGGTCTTTTGGTGCTATGAAGCTGCAGGGTGACAAAAACGTGGATGATGACAGAGCAGATAAAGAGAAGTGACAAATATAAAAAAGGAGACAAAGTGAGAACGAGAGGGAGAGGTCTCTAATGCTTTATTGCCTCCTGTCTCGTCTTTCATTTGAAGCCAGCTTTGACTGACAGATTGAGGAGGGGAGCTGTTTATTTCAGTAGCTCGGGGTGTAAAAGCAAAAAGAAGGACGCCACACTCCAAAAGAAAAAACTTTTAATCAAGGGCAACACTTCACACATAAACACACAAGTGTGCTTGTGCGTGTGTGTGTCTCCTTTTATTATATTGATCTCACTCTCCTTCTTAATATTGGCTGCTTTTCAGGAAGTGCTAACCCTCCACTAGCAAATCAGTGCCGCTCTCGCTTGTTGACTGCCTGGAGGCTTTTTTAGCCGAACAGATGGCTTCTTAGTGAATGAGAAATGACATTCATGTGAAATGTTACAGGAAACAGACACAGACTGACTGGATGAGGGAGTCTGGATTCAAGGCGGGGGGACGTGAAAATGTCTGTGATTCAGTTACAAGCAGATGTCAGCATGTTGGGGTCTTTTTTTTTCCATGCCACACAGACGGACACCCAGATGAGCTCTAAGTGGAAAACCGTGTCAGCGCCGAGCGCCATTTATAAAAGTGACTTGACGTAGTCCCACCCACTATAACAAGAAAGAAAATGATTGTTCTCGTTTTAATCATTTAGTCGACAGCTGCCAAATTGGCCGTCGTGTTCCTTCAAACTCCATTTGTGGTCCTCGCAGGATTTTCCTCCAGGAATGCTTTCTTCTACGTAATTTGTGGAGTATATCACCAATTTGAAATTACCTCTAAATAGAAAAGAAACAAATCTTTGTGTACTTTAGATTGTTTGCATTGCCTGTTCTGTATTTTTCTAACGTCTGTCAGTGTCACCTGCCCTCCCTGCATAATAATAGAGGCTGTGCGCTATAATTCTCTCCTCTCTATCGTTCTAATTTCTAAGTAAGAAATGCACAAAGGAATGCTGCTTGTTCTCTTATGGCGGCGTTCGTAGATTTGAAGCATGTTCATGACCATTTTGATGGTGACATGGCTTTTCACTGAAGGGGAAGTAATGCAGTATTTCTGAGAAGCATGCATGCAGACGCAGTTATCTCTTGTTTGGTTTCATTATCAGAAGTGATGCTGCTTTCAGTCTTATTTGGTCTGCGGTGTACACATTTATTTATAGACCAGGTAAAGTTAGTTAACTTTAGATGTTGATATACATACACAGGAAGGGATCTGACATCACTTCCTGTATTGCAGCCACAGAAGTTGTTCTGAAGAAAGCTTTTAAATTAGAATTCAGATGCTACTGTGAACCATCGTAATTCGCTGGAACTTTAATATAATACAGTTGCAATATTCACTATCTATACTATACGTTCCATAAATGCTGCTCTCTTTACCATTGTGGGAGCTTTTGAGGGTTTATATAGTGCATGGATTGTATAAAATTGCAGGCAATGAACAGGCAGTGTAAACATAAATGGCAAACAACGTAAACATAGTAAACTGTGAGGGATTTCAGAGAGATTGTAGCAGGCTGTTCTGCGTCAGTTAGCTGACTTTTCTGTGCTTGAGCTGCTGCTACTCTATGTTTTAGTGCCATCTTATCTTGCAGTCAGGGCTCAAACATCAGGTATTGTATTATTGTATTGTCAACCACATTTAACTCACTGATTCAGCATATTTACAGAAAGGCTACAGGTGTTGTGTTCAGTGCCGTTCACAAGGAAACTTCAAGATGTGGACTGGGCAGTCCAGAGGCTTTCCAATCATTTTTCTGAGCCTAAGACCACTGAATATTCAAGTGATTCACATGATTTTTTTTAAAGAAATAGATGCGTGCTTAGCTGGAGATTCGACATTTGAAAACAAACTTTTCATTTAAACCAGACATAAATGATGGTCATTTAAGTTGAACTCTTAATATAAGAAAAAGAAGTGCAAATTCAACAAAACCTCTAATTTTTTACATGATAAATGTGTAAGATTACAGAAGATGTTCTGGTAACTCATTGCCCAGATTCATAATAATGCTCTTTTTTGTTTCACCCATATACCCATTGTTACAAAACAGAAATTTCTAAAGTAAATTGTGGAAAAAAAGGAACATTTCTGTCATTTATCTATTACTTAGCTATTTGTTGTGCTATTAATGGCGATGTGATAGGTCTTTATCAATAGAAAAAGCTGTAACAACTATGAAAATACAGTTAACAGTTCAAAAACTCCTTGCACTCCTTCATGTTTTCCAAAGCATTCTAACGGGCTGAATTGCAGTCTTTGCTGGGCCGATTATGGCCCCCAGGCTTTATGTTGGACACCTTTTCTTTAGATTTTAGGTGCTAGGTGTTGAGTTTGACAGTAAATGTGTGTATATAGGTGATAAATACAGTTTCTCATATTATAAAGCCACGTCTGCCCTGTGAACAAACATGGGAGTTGGTTCTGTTGTTAGTCATTAGTCATGATTCATTAATTGTTTAATTGTGCAAGTGCAGTGAGTAATGCACATTATCTGTTTTGCTCTTGTTAGTTTGTTTGAGGTTAAATTAACACCACATGCTGCACTCATTAGCATTTATCTGTCATCTGATTTGTCATCTGTGGTGCAATGGCGCTTCTTTATTTTGTGTTCCTGTGTCTTTGATTGGGACGTCGAAACCAATCGCCGGCCCCGCCTTCTTTGGAGGCGAAGCCGTGTCTGGCTTTCTTCGTGAGGCTAAAAAAGGGTGACATTGGAGGACTTTAAAAAAACTGCTAAATCACACAAACACACACAATCTCTCACCAGTACTCAAAAGAAGTTCAGCACACAGCTGTGCTCTTTCCTCTCAGCAGCTGGGACATCAGTACGCACACACGCACAAACACACGCACAAACACACACACACACGCTTTGTCCTAGAGCTGAAAGAGTGGGAGGGAGAGTGACTGAGTGAGAGAGCAAACAAGAGCTGGAACACAATTTAAAAGCTTCGGGGATTTGATTCATTTGATAGTTTTTAGATTAAGGAGAGAATTATGGCTGATATTACACACCATGTATTATGTAGAAGATGAATCAGTTATGTATTATACATTATGATTATGCATAATTTAGTTTGTTGTATTTCCTCCTCTGCAGTGGATTTGCGTTTGAACCAGGACGGCGTTTAAAAAGGAGGCAAACAGAAGGTTGTTTCCAGAGAGCTGCAAGGAAGGACGGAAGAGTTGGAAGATGCCTTTGTTGTAAACAGTATATCACTGCAGAGAGAGAAGGGCAGAAAAATGGCGGTAAACATCGAGTGAAAAGAACGATGAAAAAGTCTCCGAGAGATTAGGAATTAATCTGCTGCTCTGATTGTGTAAGAGGACAGTGTGAAACACGGGTTACGCTCATCTCTCCCTTCCTATTCTCATCCCTCCATCCCTTTATCTCTTTAGAACTTCTTGCTGGGAATATGGTGTTTGCTTAATAATCTCATCCTGCCAACCATTTGTTTCCACAGTTACATGGGTCAATGAGGCAGCGAACAGATGTATTTTTTTTCCAAGCCCTGTTTTCTGAGTGTGTCTTTCCAAATTCATTTAGATCCTGTTATTGACATATATCACCCTCTCTCACCCCCTCTGTCTGACAGACACCATCCTGGGTTCGGAGACTTTCGGCGATGTGGCAAACTTCAGCACCTTCTTGCTGGACCGCTCATCGGGCATGCTGTTCCTGGGTGCCAGGGATGCCATACTGGCTGTAGACACCAAGAAGCTCAATGAAAAAAAACCATTAAAGGTAGGCGCAGTGCCAGTGTGTGAGTAACCAGGCAGCAGCATTAAACCACTGAATACAGGGTGTATCAAAAAGAATCAGGCTATATGCGTCCCCCGTCGCATACGTCCATATAATAGTCAAACTTGTCCCATACTTGTGTTAGCGTGTCTGGAGTCACTGCAGTTACTGTTGTTATGCTACCTACCAGCAAACAAGTGAAACTCTTTCTAACAGTGCGACAGCGGTGTACAGCTGTGGATTTAAAGCATTAAATATATTTTGTGTTGTATTTGGTGCTCTCTGCCAAAGCCTGTATTATCTTTGTGTATAAGAAAACTGACAGACTTACTACGTCTGTGTATCTTCTTTCTTCCTGCAGATTATTTGGGACGTCTCAGACGACAAGAGGAAGTCATGTGAGGGAAAGGGAAAGACAGAGGTGAGAACAGTGCATGTGTGCTGCTTGTGTGTTGTTTTTGTCTAGTTCAGCCAAACTGGTGTTAATGCAAAATTGTAGTACTGTCTTAAATCTTGCTATTCTGAAATGTGGCTTTGACTTCCATTGTTGCTGTTTGAAACCCAAGAACAGACTGGAAAACACAGCCAGCACTGAAACTTGTACTTCCTGCAGGAACTCAGCTCAGTCGTACCCAGATAAAATCTAATGAACCATTTGAATGTCCATGAACTACGCTGATCGTTTCTAATATTAATTGAGTTGCTATGTAAATGAGAATATCTGGCTTAACTGTTTTACAAAGATTGCTGGATAAACATAAACACAGTGGACTAGAAGGTATTAATAATAAGCTATGACGAATCCCAGCCTTTGCAACTGAGGAGACAATGCATTTATCAGATATACCAATAATATGTATGAGAGTCCATTCATACTCCACCCATATATACATGAATGGTGCACATGACTAAGCGCATGGTTATCGATTGAAGCTGTAAAGATTTTGATGCATGCAACAAAGTCTAGGTCTTCATTAAGAGAAACCAATGTAGACAAAGAGGAGGTTAGTGCTTTTATATATATATATATATAAATCACCAAAGACTTAGATGTCACATGTCTCTGCTTTTATTTTGTGCTGTGCCGTACATTTGTGTGTCTTTGTGTGTGCTTTACAAACCTGTGCTGTTGGGCATTGGATGGGAAGTTCTGGGATTTATGCCAATGCCCCAGTAGGGGTGTGTGTGTCTGTGTGTGTGTGCTCGCGTGCATGTGTGTATATAAATAAAGAGAGAGAGCGATAGAGATGAAAACCCAGAATGAAGTGGATGTGGACTCACAGATGTCCAGTAACTGACTACGGAAACTGATTAACTAGAGTGCACTATCCACTCCACTGTACATGTCAGCATGTTACTCTGCTCTGACCTAACTGCTCGCAGAAACACACACTTGATCTACATTTCTTGTACCTGACTGATTTATTGGTTTAAACAAAAAGTAACAGACTGAACCAGATCTTTTGCTGGCATAGTGGAGTGTGCGGCCTGAGAAAAACACAAAAGATGTCCTTAAATGACTGGATAATGCTCCAAATTGAATCAGACCAGAAGAAAATCTCTCAAATCAAAGATAAACAAAGCCAGTGGAAGGTCAGCGGTTCAAAAGAGAAGGAAGTGCAATTAGTTTTGACCTGTTTTTTCGTAAACATCATCAGCACAGTTTGCTGTTCTCTACTGTAAGGAGGTGATAGACTGATAAAGCCAGGAAAGGGTTGTTTTTTTCTACAAAGGCATTGATTACAAGAATATACGTGAGTCAGATGGTTTAAAAAAGTGGGGGAGGGGGCGCAGGAGGGGAGTCGAACCAATAGAGAGAGAGGAAGTGCAGGGGAGAATAAATGAAGATTGCAGAGACAAGACAATAGACTCAACAAGAGAGTACCTGCCCGTGTGTGTGTGTGTGTGTGAATCATGTGAAAACTGCAGACTCAGAGACAAATAAGGACACGTTAGTAATAGCTTACTCCTATCAGCAGGACATTACTAACTACAGGATTACAGGAAAAGACGTGGATATATGATAAAAGATCTGACTTGAGTTTAATTCTGTCATCGCATTCATCATAAGGTGTAAGAAAACGTCAAAGCTTTAGTAAGTAGTGGGTGTGCATGTATACAGTCATCATACTTTACTAGTTATTGCTTCACTGATACTAAAATCTTAAATGCTTCTTGGGATTTTTTGGTTTGTAAGTTTGAATCTTTTCCGGTGTAACCCCCAACACCCCAACATGTCACAACACATGGCTTCCTCTTCCTGAGCCAAGTTCTGCTGAAGGTTCTTTCCTGTGAAAAGGAAGTTTTTCCTTCCTGCTGTTGCCGAGTCCTTACTCATAATTAGTTGTCTGTCATTCAGCTGAAAGACACTAAAACTGCACTAATGTGTCATCTTCAGGTTCAGAGGGAGTTTTTTTCTCCTCACTGTCACCAAGTTCTTGCTCAAAGTGGATCGTTGGAGATTCGGTTACTGTTTATAACCCTATAATATAGAGTGGCTTGAGATGACTATTGTTTCAATCTGGTGCTATATAATTCAAATTAAATCAAATTAAGCTGAGGCTTTGAGGGAAAGACGAAAACAACCCCTGTCAATCAATATTTACTTAATTTACTTCAGGTACTACAGTAGCATCACTGGATATGCTGCACTGTCAAAACTGTTGTGGAAGTGCTTGCAAGGAGAAAGTCTGCAGAAGAGAAGCAGTGAGAAAAGTGCTGGACAGAAAGAGATAATGGAGGGTGAGCGCGGAGCATGAGGTCAGGAAAAAAAAGTTGGACCATGTCCTCTCACACACATACATCAGTAATTACCGGGAGATTGCTTTGAGCAGGTAAATGTCAGCAAGCATGAAAAGCTTTTAGATGTTTAGGTGGCAGGACTTTTTATTTCTGCGATGCGCACCGAAGTCATTAAAGTTTTTACTATGAAAGATGTATAATTGGAGGCCATTTTAATCAAGAGTACAAAAGAATTCAATAAAATCAAACAGAATAGAATAGAGCCATTCGAGCCACCCCCATGCCAGATTGTGAATGAAGCTTATTAGTATGAATGGGGTTAATTTGGGGCCAATGAAATAGCTAATCCCAGGCTGATCCCTTTGTTACCAGCCTGAGCTCCACTTCTGTCTTTCTCTCGTTCTCTCGCTCTCTTTTTTGGCTCTCTGTCCAACTCACGTGGAGCTGTACCAGCATGGAGGGCTGGGGAGGGCTGGTTTGAGTGACACGATCTGTGCATCAGAGAGGATCAGGTCTCTGGGGAGGTGAATCAGGCCTGGAGCTCATCCAGGATGGCACACACACACAAGGCATCACACACACACACACACACACACACACACACACACACACACACACAGAGCTTAGTAGAAATTGCTCACGTCATGGTTTCTTGGTAACTGGCATGGGACAGTGAGGGTGTTTTTCCATAACAGCTTCTGATGTGTGACAATAAGGAAAGAAAAATAAAGTTTGCTCAAATATATGTGTAATCTGGTGTCATGCATGAAAGTGGATGATCTCAAGTTTCATGCCTGTGTGTGTGTGTGTGAGGCCTCGGCTGATAGCAGTGGGAATCTCAGGTGTCACCTCCAGCAGCGAGGCATCTCCAATTTCCTGTTTTGTTGTTCAAAACTGAACTCTTTACCCTTTAAACTCTTTAAAACGGCTCATGAAGAAAACACCTTTTTGTCTCAAAGTTCAAAACATTTTTGAAAATCATTAATCATTTGGTGTTCAGCAAGAAGAAGAACAAAAAAAGGCAGAAAGTTAATGTTTATAACGAAACTTATTTATATATCAGTGTAGACGAAGGCTATTTTATCATATAACATACCTATTGCCCTTTTTCACTGAGTGAAATCATTCTTAATCCAATGTGAATTTAACTCTTATTAAACATGTGTAATTATGAACATATTTGATGTATGTCCTGATTGTTAAACCGAGCTTAAAATGGAAACAGTATCACGCCTTCTATGTTGCCTTTATTTTTTACTGTTTGTCTCCCCCTGCAGGGCGACTGCAGGAACTACATCCGACTGTTGGAGTTCCTAGGAGATGGTCGCATCTATGTGTGCGGTACCTATGCTTTCGACCCTCAGTGTGCCTTCTTGGTGAGTGCGTCCATGCGCTTGTAGTTTAGCGACTGATGCATGATGATGACCTCTGACCCCGCTCAAACAGACAGACATACAGACAGGCGAGCCACAATATGGTTACATAATGGGTTTGAGTTTGCACATACAGCATTAATGAGTGCAGATGGATCTCCCACACTTGTACCCATAATGCGTTTATACACCACCTGCAGTGAGGTCTAAAGACTTTTCCAGGCTTCAGCAACACCTTCTCACAGTAACTATTTTTAGGAGTTCATAATGAATGAATTATGAATGAAACAGTGTAAGTTGCCAAAAAGCAATCTGTACAAGATCAGACAGAAAAGCCTGTAATTAATTAGGAAATATAAGTCCTTTGTTTCTCTTCTCTGCAGAATGCCACTACATTTACTCTGGAAGAAGTTGATGGAGTGGTGAGGATGGAGTCAGGGAAGGGAAAGTGTCCTTTTGAGCCTAGTCAGCATTACACAGCTATTATGGCAGGTAAGTACCACTGTGTGTGATTGACTGATTAAGTTTCCTGGTCAAAATGAAAATTTTAAACAAGAGTTTTTAAGCTCTCTTGATATCTTTATATAAAATAAACATTGGCCTTTCTCTCATTTTTTTTGCCTTTTAGATGGTCTCCTTTACACAGCAGCTACCAGCAACTTCCTGGGAACACTCTTCGACATCTCCCGGGCAACGGGCCCTGAGCAGGAGCGCATCCGAACTGAACGATCCATCAACTGGCTCAGCGGTAAGAGACACATTTGCCCACAGTCACACATGCTGACCCCGCACTTTCCCACAAGGATAATTAGAACTGTGTGTCTGCGGGTGTTTTTTCTCTCAGACCCAGAATTTGTCAGCTCAGCTTTCATAGAGCAGTCCGCAGGAAACCCGACAGGAGACGATGACAAAATCTACTTCTTCTTTAACGAGGTGGCCAAAGAGTATGACTTCTACACCAAAGTCAAAGTACCCAGGGTGGCCCGGGTCTGCAAGGTAACCCACTGTCTTGACTGAATCATTGATCCCTATATGTGATTGAATCCCTGTTAAGATTAACTCTGTCTGTTCAGTCTGATGTGGGAGGGATGAAGACTCTGCAGCGACGTTGGACCACCTTTCTCAAGGCTCAGCTGGTGTGCGAGGACAAGCCCAGCGGCCAGCGCTATAACGTCCTAACTGATGTTTTCACCATGCAACATATTCCAGGCGACCCCAGCAGCACACACTTCTATGGACTGTTCACCTCCCAGTGGTAAGCCAAAGAGTAACCAAGAGGCCAGAGCAGAGCCTTGGTCATACGAGATATTGTAACACTGGAAATGTAGTTTCTTGCTGTTGTCTTCTGCTGTTGTAGCCAAATATAGATGATCTATCAGTGGATATGGTGCAATACAGGCTCATTCACAGTTTTCAATTGCATGATATAAAAAGTATAAATAAGCATGAAGCTGTTTACTTGCTGTAGCTTCATGCTTATTTTCCAAAAAAAGACGATGTGATTTTACTCTTTTTAAAAAATGAGCTTTTTCCTTCCATACTTAGCATCATGCTAAACATTTATTTTCCCTTCCTCACAGGGAGCAAGTAGACCTGTCGGCCGTGTGTGTTTTCAGCCTGTCTGACATCAGCAAAGTGTTGGATGGTCCATTTAAAGAGCTGAAGAAAAGCTGCGACAACTGGATCAATCATGAGCCGATCCCCTCACCGCGGCCTGGCCAGGTATTAAACTGCACTTTCACATTTTCGATGATTTACACTGCTTTTCTGAATCTAAATATGGCAGCCCGCAAACATCACGGATGATTTATTGTTGTTGTAGAAGATTTTACAATCTAAATAATGCTTGGTTTACACTGAACATCCTCTTTAAAGTTCAGAAAGGAGGAGACATTATGTGAATTTCTCTAGTGGATGTTTAGGAATCATTTCTTTGATCCAAGGCGTAACTTGTTTGGTCCAATATGTTTTTATCCTGCCAAAAATACTTGATCTGTTTGGCATTTAAAACTGAGGTTAAATGAGGTTTGTTCTCTTTTATTAGCAACGTGTCCTTCTGGATATGATCCAAAGATACTCTTTTACTCTGACCTTTTCCCAAAAGGTCAGAGTAAAAACACAGTTTCTTTAATCTGTGAGAAGTTAGTGAATATGTTTGGTGTACATATATTTATTTTAACAGTTATATTTAACAGGGTGGCACACATGTTCAAAAGTACAGCCATCTGTTTATCTTAATTTTAGCCATCTATTCAAGTACAGGCTGATTTTCAATCCTCTGTTCAGATTTTAGTTCCACAAATCTTCATCCAGTGCATTTATAATGTGAACTCTGATGAGGCGGATGTATAGACTTTATAACATTTGGTTTTGCAAGAGTTCTCAGCTCTATATATTAAAAAATAATAGATGAAAATCAATTCCAGGCTAAATTTATACCTTAGTTATTTCTATAAACATGATATCTTCACATTTTAAAGGAGGCACATATGAAATATTGTGAAGCCCTTTGGAAGTTCAAACTTTAAATGATCTATCAGTGCATGCATTTTATTTGACTTTACTACCATAAAATACTAAGACACACCCTTTCCTTTCTTTATAATAGTGTTTAAACAGTGCATTAAAGGCGGAGGGCTTTGAGTCCTCCCTAAAACTTCCTGACAAGGTGCTGACATTTGTGAGAGACCACCCTCTGATGGAGAACAGTGTGACTGCAGCATCCCTGCTGGTTCGAAAGGGAATCAGTTACACCAAACTGGCTGTAAATCTGAAGGACGGCAGCGAGGAGCAGAGGGCAGCAGTGCTGTATCTAGGAACAGGTGAGAGATCAGACAATAGAGACGACAGAAGGATATAGAAATTGTAGTGCGTTTAAAATTGTAGTTAATGGAGACAGCTCCCTAAAGCTGAACTAAGATACAGATAAAGATAATGGTCCTTAGAAACTGAATCCTGAAGTCAATGCAAAATTGATAAAAACCTAAACTTTCACAAGTTGTATTAGAAGTTGTGACACGAATGTGAAATAATTAAATAAATAAAAATAAATAAAAAAATGTGTTGCAGACCGTGGGGAGCTCCACCAGGTGGCAGTAGTGGGCCAGAATGTCACCTTACTGCAGGAGACGACTCTGTTCACATCACAGGAACCTGTTAACAATATATTACTGCACAAGGTAGAGCGCACGTGTACATACACATACTATAAGCACAGCCGTGCTTCGTTCCATTTCTCAGCGATTCTGCAACTGTTCTCCGTGTTTCCAGGGCCACGCTCTGGTGGGCAGCCCTCTGTCTCTGGCTCGTGTCCAAGCTGAAGGCTGCGCTCTGTATCGCAGCTGTGAGGTGTGCGCCAGAGCCAGAGGACTGGGCTGTGTGTGGAGCACAAAGGAGGAAGCCTGCAAGCAAACAACAGAAGAGTGAGTACTACAGGAATATCACAATGAATTGGAAATTTTCCAGAAAAATGGAAATGAAAGGCAGGCAGCAGCTGTATAAGGTTATAAAATACCACAGTGACCCATTTTTATTCCAGCAATACTTTCGTGTACCAATGTTTTCCTAAGGAAAAAAAAAAAGGAAATGTAATACAGAAAATTGAGCTATATGTAAGAAGCGTTTATAACATATAATATGTTATAATTTTGCCCTTGTGTGCAGGCCCGGTCCCGGTGATGTGGTAGACGCTGCCTTAAAAAAGTGTAATGTAGCAGAAGGTAAGTTTATACTTTCATTTAAGATAACGTGATCGTCGCCGTCCAGTGTGATTGTGAGTGAAAATGCCTCTGCTTTTGTTAATCAGCTATTCGCTGTCTCCGTTCTCGCCCTCCGCTCCAGGTCGCTGCAATCCATCGCCCCAAGTGCTGCAAGTGTTCCGGGGCCTGCGCCTCTTGTTGTCGTGCGTCCAGCTGTCCCCTCGGCCCTGTAGCTGGGAGTATCCTCCCCACAGACACACCAGGCAGCACAACTCTGACCTGGAGGTGGTTGTCACTGACGACAATCTGGGAAACTATGTCTGCACGTGCCAGGTATGAAGCTACGAGGCAGACCTGTGTTTGCTTTTCTTTTGTTTTTTTTGCTATTTATTTGAAAATAAGGACTTTTTTTTGTCTGTGCTATTTCTCTCATCTAGGAGGGGGGGCCGGCAGTCAGAGACCCCACCCCTTGCCGCAGAGCAGCCTATTATCTGACACTAGAAGCTCCCAGTGTCGGAAAAGTATCAACATCCGAAGGTCGTCATATCCTGGCCTTGTACATATTTGCCATCTTACTAGTTTTAAGTTTTGTCGCCGTCCTTATCTTCTTTGTGAAACGGCGGTGTGGGATTGCCCGCGACCTGCCAGATAATTCGTTGTCATCGGGAAAGGGGCGGGACTTGCTGGGTTCCTCGGCCACTCCTCAATCTCCCAGCAGCTCCAGCCTTTTCTCGGATGGATTCCGGATGGCGGAAAAACGAAACGGGACGGCGACTTCGACCACAACAACCACGCTCCTTAGCAACCATGGAAACGGTGGGCACAGTTACAGCGACACTCTGATAAGCAGCAACTCCAGCAACGGCCATGGGAATTCTCTGTACGCCAACTGCAACACAAGCGGCAGCGGGAAGAGGCTTGGCCCTGAATTTCTATCACCAGATATGCTGGACAGAAGGACGGGGGAGCGGGAGAGAGTGAGGTCTGAGGGGGGAGAGAGAGAGTCAGGGGAGGCGGAAGAGGTGGAGGAGGGTCTGAGGGATGGGTTGGGGGAAGGAATGAAAAGACTAGAAGAGGAGATCTCCAGCTTTACCATGTTTAAATCACCAGCACCGCTGGCTAGGTGTGAAGAAAGTTCGATATGAAAATGTTCGATACCATTTTGCATCCTCCAAAAAACCTGAAAACTACTGGAATCAGTGCAAAGTGGCTACTGCCAAATGCCTTTGAATACGAGCTGTGACGTGAGAGAGACTTCAGAGATTTATGAGAAATATAAATTTATGTCCAAGCATGTGAGAGATCTGTTATGCACAGAGAGAGCTGCAGGACAGAAATCATATGACAGTGTTGGCATAGACTTCTTATAATGAGTAACTCAGGATGAGAGCTGTCGCCGATGTACATATAAATGTAAATATGAGCAGTGTGAACAGGTGATAATGGACTTGAAACTGAGTGATTACATAATTCTAATATTACAAAGAATCAAAGATGAAACGTCTACATCTGTAGACATGGAAAAGCCATATTGTCTTTCTCCTTAACCCCTGTTGTTGTTTGCTCTCATTTGCTTCTCCTGGAAAGGAAAAGTGCACTTCTCTCTCACCGCCTGTCTCTCTGTCTCTTGCTGTCTGTGCTTCTCTTTTTCACACACACCACTTGAATCCCAAAACTCGATGGGATCAAAGGCACCAAAGGACTGCTGAGCCATAGACTGCCCGGTCAGACCTGGGCCTCAAACAGAGAAACGTCACCGACAGAGATTTAGAACCATAAATTCACTGAGGAGCCTTCACATGGACTGCAGTGACTGTGACGGGGCTGTCCCTCTCTGCTCTGCCGAAGATGTGCAGAGGCTGATAGGTTCAAGGTCCGTCAGACTTGTGTCACTGTGGAAAAGTGTAGTTGCAGCGAAGACGCGAGAAACTGAATGCTGCTTTCTGTCACTGCTCAGATTCACCATCACTGAGACAGAAGTCGTTCAAAGGATGTGAAATTCATTTCAGTCTCTAGGAATGGACCTTATAGACTCAAAGACACCATCACCTCATGTTGTGAGTGTGGATTTTAACATAAAGTGTATTGTTTTGTCACGTTGTTTTGTAATAAAACATTTAAAAAGTTATTCCTGTTGCCATACTGTCTGCTAACAGCCTGGATGTGGGGACATGTAACAAATAGTGACGTGTCCTTCTTTTGAATGCACAAAGCAGCTTCTGTGCCTCATGTCTGTGTAACTGTCTTCACCGTAGTGCGTATGTGGTCCTGTTTGTGTCTATGACTGAGTGTGGGTACCTTGGTACATGAAATACATGGATTATATTACACTGTTGCAAATGCATCCTTTCATTTTTCAGTTTTTTAACTATACAGTGATGAGCTGTAAAGTTCAACAATTTCCCACATGTCTGCTGTAGAGCTTTGACTTCCAGTAATTCATCATTCATACAGTAATGTTTGTTTTTTTTGCTCACATGCTAAGGTAATGGGTTGCATTTTATTTTTTATTTATATAGCGCTTTTCAAGGCACCTAAAGCGATGTGTAATTCCACTATTCATTCACTCTCACATTCACACACTGGTGGAGGCAAGTCTGCCCTGAGACTGAATTTGTCCTTGGGTGAAGTGTCTTGCCCAAGGACCCCTGAGCCACGGTCGCCCCAAGGTTTCAAAATGCTGTACAAACAGTACAGAAATAGAGCTCAGAAATCCAAAGAATCCAAAACACATGAGAACAAGATCATAGACAACAAGAGACAACTCGACAAAGTGCAATGGGCGACTGAGACAATATATTACAGAAAAAGGTGACTATAGAGACACAGTTGAAAAACTTAATAATAAAGAACCTAAGAATCATCCTGATGATCTTTAATAATAAAAAACTGACAGGACCAAAAAACACAAAACACTGGGTCAGCAATCCAGGACCATGACAGCATTGTCAAGCTAAGAGTACTGCCCAACTGACTGATTTGATTCAGCACCAACATATAGCTGTTACTTGACATGAAGCCTATCTGTTCAGGAAAGAGAGCCTGGGCTGTGCATACTCTGCTGATGACCTGACTACTGAGAGTGAAGTGTTTGGAAGGAGTCACTACAGGGAACTAGTGAAAGTGTAAATAAAGACGCAGCACTCTACTCCTCATTCTCCCTGACAATATTAGCCTTACTTTCCTTCACGTAATTCTTAATGTTTTCCATAAATGTGTCAATTCAAGGAAAACCATCAGGTAAAATTTTCGCAGATTTCTTCAGTCACGCCCTGGTG